TTTTTAAGAATTTATAAGTTATGGCTTTCTTTTTTACTTGTAAAGTGAACTGGAAAATTAATTGTGCTTGCTGTGTGCATATATCCTAAGCTAATAAGGAAATAAGTGCACAGCTTAAGACCCCTAAAATGACAAAGCATAAAAAGTCCTTTTCAAAAGACGAAAAGGGTAAGATTAGGTGAGAATACCATTGGTTCTCGGTTTTGGCGCTATTTTTAGAGTTGGGTGCAATATCATTGTTCATTTTATAAATGGTAGATTTATACTTGGCGTGGTGTAAATCCATGATGTATAAGTCAAGAATCTAGCCTTGGTGCAATTGTAAATGCTCAACTGATGTAGAATGGACTGCCATTATTTATGAATAATGAATTTTCATCCAAGATTGATATAATTTATTCTTTAAAAAAAGCGTCTTTTATCTGTAGCAGGACTTGGGGGATTGTTTTGGTTTGTTTTAATCCCAACGACTCTGTTGCTTAGTAAAATGTTTGCCCATTGGTTTTGTTGCGACGTGGCTCATCTGATATTTTGAATAGAATCTCTTCAATTAGAAGTAATATTTGAAAACAATGGTTGGCTGGAATTGGTTACTGTTTAGAAAGACCTAAACACAGTTAGAAGAAAATGAACGATAGTTAGAAAATTATCATGCTTACTTTCATGAAAAATGTCACTGTTAGTTCACAAATCTCTTTGAGTGTGTCCATTTATGCTACAAATTTTGGTAAAAGAGAGCCAAAACAAAAAGAATTAAAAGCTGATATAAGGAAATGTAAAAATTGGTGATTAAAAGACCTAGGAGATGGCTCCTTCAATAACGTCAATATCAATGTCATTGTTCTTAATGTAATGCTGAACTTTCCTAATGTTCCTGGAGCCTCTTAAACAGACAAGAACAGATTGCGAAACTGAAGACGAAACATGAGCTTTTATCCAGGAGATGGCTGTGGAATATTGCTTTTCTTTCTTTGAGGGAATGAGCTCTGTCAATCAATCCCCATCGCACTCGATGTTGTGAAAACCAGAGGGGTGAATGTTCCCTTTTCCACATCAAGTATTCTTCTGGAATATTGGCGCTTCTTCTCGTTCTCATGTATTTGAGAGACCTGTTGGGGTTCCTTGTTCTGGTATGAGCTGGCATTAGAGTGACGTACCCTCATGTCATAGAATGCCGCACATTGGCGCTTCCGGAACCCACCGGTATGAATGTCTAACCTGGCATCAGGTGTTCTATTGAATGCTCTACTCAGCTGTTCTCCTGAAATGTCTCGGTGGATAGGCTCGATCTCGACATCGCTGCATACAGAACTCAAGGGTTTGGCCCCTAGGTCTCTCTGCTTGTTGTAATGCTGAGTAATAGTCTCTCTGTTTACATATCATTGCATGGTCTGCCGTAAAATTATTCCCTGCATACACAGTTGGAGGGGATATCCTCAATTGGCCAGTCATAGCACAGTTTAATAGTGTCACGGAACTCTCTCTTGTTCAGGGTGAATCCTAGTTCCTGAAGTGGTGATACAGTTAACCGAACAGATGCAGTTTTCTCTGTGGCCAGTTTCAGTGTGCGTTATGTCTTCTGTGGAGCCTCTTGCCTCCTGAGCATACTTTCAGTGGAAGAATGTCTCTCTGTGTGACTGAATTTGCTGGCAGGAACACCTGCAATATTTCATCCTCTGAGGGCTCCAGCAAGTCATGCATATCAGGGAGAGTCAGCAAAAAAATAAATCTACAGATGTTTCAAGCCGAAGGTGTATGCTGCATAGCAGGCTTATGGCTGCAACAGAGCAAACTCCACCAGATTCGCTACTTCATTGGGCCAGTTAGTCACCTTTTCACAAACATATTCCTCTAAATGTTCCTTTGAACTAATCACTGCTCCAGGATGTTTTAGTCCTTTCACCATAACATTGACAGCCGTGTCCTCAAATACAGCTCTCACGCTTTCCACTGTATCTGGTTTGGCCATAATCCAGCACTTCTTGGCGATTGGTAAATAATCAAAATCCGGACCAAAGGTGTTATGAGTATCCCACCATCTCCTGATTTCTGCGATCAAGCCGCCTTCCCTTGTGTCATCTGCAAACCAGCATTGCTTTATGCATGATGCCGCTTGCAGATGAGAGGCTGAACATGTAGGGCATAAAGCCCCATGCCCGACGGATCCTGTTGAGTTGTTCCTTTTGCTAATTTGATTTCTTTTCCGCAGGTGATAAAAGAGTCGTGCCAAGTTTCTGGAGTGCGGCATCAGTGAAGTTTACTTGAACTAGAGAATACATGGCATGAATTGCCACCTCACTACCCAATTTCTGCCCAGCACGGAGCTGAAGAGACCCACCAGCTGCGACAACATCCTTTTTTGCAATATTCTCCACACAACTCTCACCCAAAAGGGCCCCTCCACACCAGATTATGCAGATTGCAACAGGTAGTCCCTCTGTTTCTCCTGTCAGATTACTTGAGAACCATTTGTTGGTGGTGAATGTGTCTATGTGAGGCTTCTCTAGAATCCTGGGATACTGACCATGCAATGCTTTGTTTTTCCACTTTCTTTCATGCGTTTCATCTTAAATTTTAATATGTGTATCAGGGCCTTCAATTTCAAGCACCTGCTATGGATACTGCCCTTCTTTGTGCCTCAGATTATGACTGAGCCCTATTGTTACTGTTTTAAATGCTTCTTCGTCAATCAGACCCCTTCCTCTGTCTTTTCTTGGGATGTACAGCCTTTCCACATCTACCAACAGGAGCCAGAGACTGTGATGCACAATAAAGACAACAACATCACCATCATATGGGATATTGACAGAACTATGACAGCAAACAGACCAGACATCGTAGTTAAAGATTTGGCGAATTCCACCTGTAAACTGATTGTCATGACTATTCCATCAGATAGAAACATTGCTCTGAAGGAAATGAAAAAGAAAAGCAAGTACAAAGACCTAGAAGTAAAAATACAGAGAACGTGGCATATTTGACTGGTTGTAAGGCATACATTTTATTTTCAGAGTACAGTAGGAGAAAGTTCTTTAGGTGCTTTTACTCTGCTTAAGGCAACATATAACATGCCAGCTTGAAATACAGTTTCACCTATATCAATGACTGCTTTGGATAGTGTAAGACCATAAACTTTGTGGACTGTTGCTGCCTAATAGGGTTTCAATGGTAGTTGCATTCTTTCTCAAACTGACTCCCTTAAGCCAAAAAATTTTGTTTTAAATGAATGTAATTCCACAGACTCAAAATTGGATGCATCAGTTTTTACAGAATCAAATTTCACAGTAACCGTCTGAGGCAAAACATAATTGGTTGTTTTTAGCTCTGTATTTGATGGAAGTTGTATGTTTGTTATTGTTCCAAGTGCACCATTAACTAATCCTCTTGAAAGGTCAATGTGCTTTATAAGCATTACACGCATTGCTATTACAATCTCTATTGAATTTGGAAGCCCTCCAAATTCTTGCTCATCCTCAGGTAGAAAGTCATATTCAGTTTCATATGGCTGAATTTTGTGCTCGTTGAGGAAAATGTCTTCTGCTTTTGAGAATCGAGTTATGAACTGTATGCTGAAGAGGTCGTTGTAGTTTTTCACTGTTGTATTCATTGCATGCTGATTTGGTTGGGAATATTCTTAGGGCTTCATGAAATTCAGGGTCGTACAAATGCAGATTTGATATTGAATTAAGGAGTTTAACAACTCTACAAGTTTGGTGCCCAATTCTTACTCGTTCCAGTAGTTCAGCATATTGTACATCACTTATTTGCGGCTCATTTTTCTCTAACTTGATAACCTCAAACAGGTCTGTCCAAGTGTGAAATGCAGATAGTTGTTTTGTAAAGATATATGAACCCATAGTTTGAGTTGGTAAAATCACCAAATGCCAAAATTTTGACTCCTGCAAATGGAAGAAGGGATCCATGACAGTCTTAAATGTCTAATAGTCTCAAATGAATTTGCATTAACACCTTGTAGCTAACCATACCTATTTCATCAATTACCGTAGACAGGCTCATGTATAGATTGAGTTACTATTGTATATTAAGGCTAGTGTAATCGGCTAGTGAATGTTAAATGCAGCAACACCGTTTGATGCTGTCTTGATAACTGAAATGTTGTCGTCATAAGATGTTCTTAAAAGGTATTCATTTATCACAGTTATAAGCCAGGAAAGATTTTCCTGTTCCACCTGCACCTGTAACAAAAAGAAAAGACGGATTTGGCTTTCCTGTTGATTGTCCTTGATCATACTGACATTTACGGTGGCTATGGGAGACTATGAGATAGTTGTTTTCCAATCAGTGATGATGATTCTCTTTCAGGGACATAAGTAATGTTTTGAAACTGCTCTTCAAAATTCACAGGAAAATTAATACACAATCCATCCTTAGCAAACTGTCCACTAGCAGAAAGTGAAAGAACTGTCATAAAAACATAAACTTTGGTTAGAAAGCGTTTCTCCATAAATGTTAATTCTTTTATGACAGGTGGAACATGTCCAGCATCAAGCTTATTAAACTTGCAATCGGCAGGCAATTTAGAGTTCTTCAATGAAGCAGAGCAGCATTGGCATAGTGGTACTTTATTTGCAGAGCTATTACAACATTATCAATAAGGATTTAGAAATGCAAAGACTAGCAAAAACTAACGATAAAAACCGACGTTTCGGTGTCATCATGACGCCATTGTCAAGGAGAAATAAAGAATGAAGTTTGTGGCAAAGTGTAACATTAAATTAGCATAAATATGTTACGAGCTAATTAAACAAATACTTTTGCGCGAATTGAATCGCTTTGCACGTTCAGAGTGGGTTTTAAGTCTCTGATGAAAAGCATTTCGTTCACCAAACAATCGAACTTGTTACTACACTTTTTCAGAATGCTAAAACGTTTCAGTAGGTCTTTCGGGACTTCGCTGTGCTGTTCGTGGTAGTGTTTATATATTGAAGATGCCTTTCGTTTATGTCCATCCACGCGTGTGTGTAAGTGTCCGCGTGTATAGCCCACATAACCCGCATCACACAGGTCACATTGAAATTGATAAACGACGCGTTGTTGGTTGACAATCTGTGGCTTGATTTCTCGTACTTTAAGATCTTGGCTTACTTTGCGGCTAACAAATACTGGCTGGACAGTTGTCTGCACCTTCATGCTAAGATTCTTGAGCTCTTTCTTAACATAATTTGCTGATTCTTGATCTTTGAAAGGTATGACCACACGAACAATGGATATTGGTTCTTTGGGCGTCTGTGTGGGCTGCGTACCAACAATTCTTGATTGTAAGAAGGTGTTAATGGTAGAATTTACCAGGCGCCCGGGTATTTAAGCCGTGCGAAAACTTTCTTTAGGCGATCACACTCATCAGAGAAATGGGCCCAGGAGGAAGATAATCGGTGTGCGCGATCCAGCATAGTTTTCAGCAAGCTCCGTTTGTAGCGATTGTCTACATGGCTTTGGTAGTGTAATAGTAGGCCCGTGTTTGTTGGTTTCACATATACCTTGGTTTCAATCCGAGGTGCATGGTTGAGTAGTTCGGTGCCAAGGAAAGGAAGCTTGCTGTTCTTCTCCACCTCCATGGTGAATTTGACCGAAGTGTGGGCGCTGTTGAGGGTATGCAAGAAGGTAGTTGCTGTTGCTAGATCAGGCATTACAGTGAGTGTATCATCAACATATCGACGATAATAGGATGGAAGTTTTCTTTGTCGCTCAAGGGTATCTTCGATGGATGACATGAAGACGTTTGCTAATAAGGGCCGAGAGGGGACCCCATAGCAACGCCATCTGTCTGTTCGTATAGAGCTCCGTTAAATTGAAATAGTTGGCCTTTGGTGGCTACGTTTAGGAGGTCAATAAGATCTGTTCTGGTAAGGGCAAGATTGTGAGTAGTATTGAACCAATTGTTCGAAAAGGCTCTGTTAACCAAGATCTCTATTGTTTCGTCCAAAGGCACGTTCGTGAATAACGAGGAGACATCATACGAAACCAAGATTTCACCCTTGTTGATCTTCAGCTCGTGAATCTCTTTTGTGAAATCAAAATTATCAGTAACTGTATACTGATTAAGGGACAAGGGCTTCAATTTCTCGTCGAGCCATTTAGCAAGGGGAAAATTGTACGTGTCGGTGGCTGATAATATAGGCCTCATAGCCAATGGTTCTTTGTGGGTTTTGGCAACCCATATAAATGTGCTAATCTGGAACCTGTAGGGCTCACGGAATCTGCAATGGTCTTCGGTAGAATTCTACGAACAATGGAATCTAGGATCTTCTCTTTCTGTAGTAGGGGTGGTAATATTTGGATGGTCTGCCCTGGTCTTGGGTTTCTCCAGGGGAATGGCACGGAACTTGCTTGTATCATTGACTGAGGCTTCAGAAAGTAATCGCAAGTATTCGGTTTTGTCTAGAACCACAACACCAGACCCTTTGTCGGGTTTCGTGATAACTATGTCGTCGCGTCCTTTTAACTCCTCTATAGCTCTCAACAATGTCTTTGGAGGTTTCGGACTCTTGCGTTCGATGTAATTGAGTGCAACGAAACGTAACGTTGCTGCAGATAATTCCTTTAAATTATCATCATTGAGGTGGGGTTCAAGGCTCCAATAGGCCTTTTCAAAGCTTGCTTTAACGTCCATGGGAGACACACGTTGAGGAATGGCAAATGTTAATCCTCGGCAAAGGACCAGTCTCTGAAAAAAAGGAGAGGTTGTAGGATGATAGGTTCAAAATATGTTCGTCAACATCCATTTCGATGTTGAGCAGCCGTGAGATCTTCTTCGTGTGAGTATTCGTAACTTCCTGATGATATTTCTTTTTAAGGCTAACCATAGTGCGTAGAACGCAGGTGTAGCGAAGCAAACTACAGCTCCGGCGAATCTCATCGTAGATGGAATTGATCGCGCGTTTTAGATAAGCACTCTGTTTGATCTTTCCATTTAGTTCCTCAGAGATGACATTCCTTGTAAAGGTTTCGGAAGAGTGCTTCCATTTAGAACGCCTTGCTTTGTCGACCTTAGCGAAAGTTGGAGTTAGGTCAAAGTTCTGACAGAGTCTGAGGAATTCGATTGAGCCATCGCAGTTAATCTGTTTCTTGCTGCATTGTTCAAGTCTCCTGAACAAATGTAGCTGATTATCGCGTTTTAAGATTCTTATCAATAAGGATTTAGAAATGCAAAGACTAGCAAAAACTAACGATAAAACCGACGTTTCGGTGTCATCATGACGCCATTGTCAAGGAGAAATAAAGAATGAAGTTTGTGGCAAAGTGTAACATTAAATTAGCATAAATATGTTACGAGCTAATTAAACAAATACTTTTGCGCGAATTGAATCGCTTTGCACGTTCAGAGTGGGTTTTAAGTCTCTGATGAAAAGCATTTCGTTCACCAAACAATCGAACTTGTTACTACACTTTTTCAGAATGCTAAAACGTTTCAGTAGGTCTTTCGGGACTTCGCTGTGCTGTTCGTGGTAGTGTTTATATATTGAAGATGCCTTTCGTTTATGTCCATCCACGCGTGTGTGTAAGTGTCCGCGTGTATAGCCCACATAACCCGCATCACACAGGTCACATTGAAATTGATAAACGACGCGTTGTTGGTTGTCGATTAGCACATTTATATGGGTTGCCAAAAACCCACAAAGAACCATTGGCTATGAGGCCTATATTATCAGCCACCGACACGTACAATTTTCCCCTTGCTAAATGGCTCGACGAGAAATTGAAGCCCTTGTCCCTTAATCAGTATACAGTTACTGATAATTTTGATTTCACAAAAGAGATTCACGAGCTGAAGATCAACAAGGGTGAAATCTTGGTTTCGTATGATGTCTCCTCGTTATTCACGAACGTGCCTTTGGACGAAACAATAGAGATCTTGGTTAACAGAGCCTTTTCGAACAATTGGTTCAATACTACTCACAATCTTGCCCTTACCAGAACAGATCTTATTGACCTCCTAAACGTAGCCACCAAAGGCCAACTATTTCAATTTAACGGAGCTCTATACGAACAGACAGATGGCGTTGCTATGGGGTCCCCTCTCGGGCCCTTATTAGCAAACGTCTTCATGTCATCCATCGAAGATACCCTTGAGCGACAAAGAAAACTTCCATCCTATTATCGTCGATATGTTGATGATACACTCACTGTAATGCCTGATCTAGCAACAGCAACTACCTTCTTGCATACCCTCAACAGCGCCCACACTTCGGTCAAATTCACCATGGAGGTGGAGAAGAACAGCAAGCTTCCTTTCCTTGGCACCGAACTACTCAACCATGCACCTCGGATTGAAACCAAGGTATATGTGAAACCAACAAACACGGGCCTACTATTACACTACCAAAGCCATGTAGACAATCGCTACAAACGGAGCTTGCTGAAAACTATGCTGGATCGCGCACACCGATTATCTTCCTCCTGGGCCCATTTCTCGGATGAGTGTGATCGCCTAAAGAAAGTTTTCGCACGGCTTAAATACCCGGGGCGCCTGGTAAATTCTACCATTAACACCTTCTTACAATCAAGAATTGTTGGTACGCAGCCCACACAGACGCCCAAAGAACCAATATCCATTGTTCGTGTGGTCATACCTTTCAAAGATCAAGAATCAGCAAATTATGTTAAGAAAGAGCTCAAGAATCTTAGCATGAAGGTGCAGACAACTGTCCAGCCAGTATTTGTTAGCCGCAAAGTAAGCCAAGATCTTAAAGTACGAGAAATCAAGCCACAGATTGTCAACCAACAACGCGTCGTTTATCAATTTCAATGTGACCTGTGTGATGCGGGTTATGTGGGCTATACACGCGGACACTTACACACACGCGTGGATGGACATAAACGAAAGGCATCTTCAATATATAAACACTACCACGAACAGCACAGCGAAGTCCCGAAAGACCTACTGAAACGTTTTAGCATTCTG